TATTATATATATATATATATATATATATATATATATATATATAAAGAATATTACTTCAGATCTGATCAATTTATCAAAATATAGAAATATAGAATTATAAAAATTATAAAAATATAGAATTTTCCTTATTTATAATAATATATATATAGAACTATACAACTGTGCGTAATAAATTAGTAATTACATATGATACAAAATTATACAAATATATCACGCTTTTATAAAAAAAGACCTCAGGATATTTTAAAGTAGACGTAAAGTGTCAAAAAAGCCTGATATGAAAGTTTCTTCTTGAATATTGTCCGAAATTGAAAATGTTTCTTGTTTTTGTTTCGCATAGATATGTAATACTCCTGAACTTAGTGTTATTTTAAGCATTTTTCTTGATGCTGTTGAGTGTATATTTATCTTCTCTTTAAAATTACGTTGATGGAGCATCATTGTGAATTATTTCTTCGGGATATACGTGACTTCTCTCAACTTTGTTAAACATTCGACAAATGCAAATAAGAAGCAACGAATATCCTGAGTATCTTGTTAATATTCTCCGTAGTTTTCAAGTCAATATTGTGCCGATTGTCGCCAGGTTTATGCCAGAATGGCGGGAATGGGGACGGTATTATATGCAAAATGGGCACGTCTGAAAAACAGAAAATGCAGTTTACAGCATGAAATGATCTTTATGCTTCTTCTATCGTGTCTTACAACTACCTACTCACCTTTTCTCAGAAAAGGAATGTGATCGTCTTCGATATGCGCCTCGAACGAGTATGGTTGAAAATATCTTTGTTCTGGTTTCCCATACGAATACGATTCTAATTTTCTCATTTGAGCTAATTTCTTTTCGATGCTAACTAGTAAAGAGTACCATTTCTCAGTTTTCTTAAAATAATTGTAGAAAGTCGGATCAGGTGCGCCCAATAAATCCAAAAGAACCAAGAGGTCCTGTGACAAAATATATAAATATTAAATATTTCCTATAACAATTAACGATTCTAATAATAAATCGTATAAATCAAATATAAGATGTGTCTGTATTTTTAATAATGTATCTGTATCGATGATGTAACTTGTACCATTTTGTCCAATTCGGAATAATGGTTTTCTCTACCATAAGAAGTCTTTTTGTTATGCCATTCTCTGGCTAAATGTTTGGCGCCGTAAATCGAATCATTTGGACCCCATTCCTCAAACGCTTCTTCTCCATCAAAGAAGATAAACATCAAACTGATATCTTGCTGAAAAATACAAACGTAATATAAATATAGATTTTGCAAGATTTTACACACACATATAAATTGTAATATTCGATGACTTACATTTTTATCCAAATGCGTATTCATGACGGTTGCCAAATTAATTAATTGAGAGCATGGTACGGCACTGTCTGTGGCTCCGATGAAGTCCCTCTCTCTTGTATACTTGGAATCAAAATGGCAAGCGAGTGCTAAATATCTTTTTGCATTAGGATTTAATTTCGCTATTATGTTTTCAAATTGCAATTTGCCAAATATAGGCGTCTCAGATTCGAATGTATCTGATTCGATTGTCCAACCTAGACCTTTCATCGTCCTTTTGATATACTGAAAAAATATACATTTTTGCTTTTGTCGCAGAGAATTAGATGTTATGTAACGTTGAAGTATTGGTTTACTTAAGTATTTATCATTATCGTTATAAATTTAGTTGAACGTTCTAAAATAAAAATTCTTATCTAATCACATTACGAATAATATTTAACTTTTATTTTTTACTTATGCACATATATGAACTTTGTAAACAAAATGACTTTGTCCAATATGATGATATTGGAGTAAAATATTTATTTATCATTGTATTTTTATTTATTATTGTTAAGTTTTTAACTTAAGTTTGCTGTTTTTTTATTTAATACACTCAGGTATTTTTACGTTTTTTCACGAATTAAAATTCTATGTATTATTTCACAGGAGAAAAAGCTCCGAGTTAACCATTTCTCTTCGAGACTCGGTTCTTCGGAGTTTGGAAATTCCCGCGCGCGCGCGCGTATGTGCTGCGTCTGTTTTCCAGCTCCTTACCTCCTTCACTCTCGCGTGCTCGGGGGTCCCCACGATCCTCACCACACATATGTTATCCAAGACCTCGTTCATGTGAGTAACATTCGTGAGGCCGGCCAACGTGGCGATCTGTTCGTTCGTCAGTGAGCCGGGCACATGATAGAACTGGAAATCAGGTAACAATAATGACATTCGTCAAAAGTCGCCGTCAGCCGGTGACGATGGGCAACGTGACAATGAACTGCAGGAAAGAGAGAGAAAGAGAAAGATGAAAATAACGTGAGAGGGGGGGCCCTCCTCCTCCGCGAAGGAGGAAGGATGAGCAACGAGAGGAGTGCGACGTTCGTTTATACATTACGTACTTTCTGCCTTGGGAACGGGATCTCCCTCGAGCCATCCTGCTCGGCCGCGTGCGGCGATACAACGGCGGCTAGCAAAAAGATGCATAACGCGAACATATCCGTGCTCCGTGGCAGCCGCGCGTCGACTGAGCGCGGCCTTCGAGCATCGCGATGTAAGAAGACTTCGTTCCTCGCGGCTGAACTCTCCGTACTTTCCTTATTCTTCCTCCCTCTCTCGCACCGACGCTTTGCTGTACTGTCCGTCTCGCTCTGAGGACAGAAGGGGTGACATACCGTGGACACCACGCGGATGCGCGGTAGGATATTCAATAAAATGTGTTGGCCTCGACATGCCGTGAGAGGCAGTTGCTAACGTCGCACTCTGCGTCCGATGGTAGAAGTACAAGCGCAACTTTTGCGCTGCACTGCCGACGGTGCCAAAGGTCATCTGCCAAACGACATCTCACAACATCGAGATACTAAATATAAAGAATTTTGTAACGAGATTGTATCTCTCGCGTGCAGCGAGACCTATTAAGACAGTGTTAGAAGTAACGAACGAAATAATAAACTATGTGTAATGCTCAGTAATGGATGATGGTGCACATATAGATAATTTAATAAAATATCAGAGGAATTGAGCCATTATTAGATAAGTAGACATTAGATAAAAAATAATAATGTGAAAAACAAGTGCATAACACGAAAAAGAAGTAATACTGTAAAAGATTTAATTTTTAAATTAATTGAGTAGCATATTAAATCTTCCATTCATCAATTTCAGTAATTCGCTCAAAATTAAATATAAAAACACAAGTTAAATTTAGACAATATAATTTAAAAAGTTTGACCAACAATTTTTAATATTTATTTTATATTTGTATGATTATTTTCTATATTTTCTTTCGGATTTGTGGATTGAGTTTAATTAGCAAAGTTGAAACCGACTGTTGGTCAAGTAACAATCATCATTATAAAGTTATAAGTTTCGATTAGTTCTCATGTAATTTGTGATAATCTGATAATCTTAACGGTGCCTACAAATCAAGGTTAATTACTTATCATGGTAATTTTACGTTTAACGATCTGGTACGTTCTGAAAATTAAACTTTGCATTATATTTTACGAAACTGTTTCCTGGTTTAAAGTCTTAACGATTATGATTACGCACGCAATTAATCAGAAAGCTAGTATGCAAACTGCTGTTCTCCTCTTATGTATAGCTTATAATTTTCTGGATTTTACCTAGATTATAATATAATTATATGTTTCACAGTATAATACGTTTCATCAAGATACAGAAAGAATTAAAAAATTTGAATTGTATAATATATGTATATTTATTTTGTTATTTACTTTATTATCTAAGATCTTATAAATTTTCCCTAGTTTTACTTTTTATTTGCTTAGTCTTATATGTTCGCATTCGTTCCTAAATTTTATTTAACTTCATCACGCAATACAAAATATAACTACATTTAACTTAATTACATTTAAAATTTTGTATAATTCTATAATAATGACATAATTTATATTTTTTTTATGAAGTATTGCTGTTTGCCTACAAGAAGCTGATGAAAGGTAAACTACGACGAGAGATAAATTAAAAGAGAAAGTTTTGTGTGTGTTTGTCTATGTGTTTGTGTACATGTGTGTTTGTGTATAAAGTAATCTATTTTATTTGCATATGGAAATGAAATATGTAAAAAATAAAAAGAGAGGAAAAGAGAGAGCAATTCCAATTCATAAAAAATATTATATATAAATCGAAATACTTTTCATATTACTTCCTAAATGTCTTACATAGAGATATCGATAGTGAATCTTACAAAAATCAACATTATCAAAAGAGCTACGTATTAGACAAACTCCGCGAATCGTTATCGCGTAATGATCCTGGTGGCACCATATATTATATAAATGTTCACATTTCGCGTTACGTATATCGTATACGCCCGAGAAAGTAGCTTTAACCTTTCCAAGAATTTTTAATTCATTTGATTGAACCTCTTGCATATCGTGCACGCACATCAATGGCCTGGAACGATGGATTTTCAGATCTGAGAATACAACTAATACATATCATTATTAAGATGATTTGAGAGAAACTGAAAATATCCTGGTGGTGTTTCCCTTCAAATCCATCTTTCTAATCGCGATATTCCCTCAACTGAAATCTATCGTTCCGTTAGAGTCGAAAGTGTTAAAACTAAATTCTCAGTACATAGAAATATTTTCGCGCAATTGCGGTGGTCTTGTTTTTGTGGTCAGGATATTTATTTAATATTTGATACCACCGAGGAGGCGAGAGCGTTCATGAGCGTGGTGCCGTACTCGCGTCGCTTTCTACTTTGCTCGCGCGACTCGACATCGGTCCTCTCCTCGAGAGAGAAACTTGAGCTTCGATCGCGCTAAATAAATAAATGGTAAACGCGCGGCGTGTCGACGCGAGCCAAGCTTCGCAGAGACCTAAAATTCGATCGACACGATCGATCAAAATCAATTGCACGACTCGCGATTGTTTTCATCGAGGCGAGTAACGTCCGTCGCGTTGAATCCGCGGCGGTGATCGCCCGACTGCATTTTCCGTCGGATCCCTCTCTTTTTGTGGGTACCGTTACCGTGATGAACGGTCTAAAACGTTCGTTAAATGAGAATTCGAGAAAGCATCGGTGAAACCGATCATCGGCGACGACGTGCGATGGGAACGCGATATTTCTCGCGAATGCAAATTCACGCCCTCGCGAATTAGCACGCGCCGAATGGAATTCGGAGTGAGGAAATGGTCGATATCTTATCGAAACTGGAAAGATACAAAGTAATCTCGCTTCTAAAGTATAAGTACGCGTATTTTGAGCAACCGTCTCGCGCAAGTCGGGTTTCCGGGGCAATACGAACGTTCGAAAGACACGGCGGAGGAACGTTTCAAGGGATGTCCAAAATCTTCCTAATTTTTTGGAATCCCTCTTGGACCTCGCTCCGACATCTTTCAGACTTTCGTCCTGCCTGGAATTCTTGCTTCCGGTCGGATGGAATCAAACGATCGGTCTATCGCGGGGAGAGCTTGTTGTGCGAATCTCGTGGCGCCCACGTCTCGACGTGATGTCCGGAGCCACGGGGGGGGGGGGGTTTGAAATACGATTCAAATCTATACAGGCCCGAGGTCGGCGGTGTGCGATCGTTGCGAATCCTTCTTCACACCGCGTTGAACGGATCGACCTCTCGGCGAATTGTCTTTCGGATTTCGTGTCGAATGTTTTTGATCCTCGTCCTAGGTGCGACGTGAATTTTCGTTGTCGACGAGCATCGGCGCGCTCGCGTTACTCTCTTTCCATTCGATGCCGACCGGCCGAGTTCCTTCAGTAGTTGTATGGCCCATATTGGGAACCGTGATAATACGGCCCCGGATACGCCGCCGGTGCCGGATATCCGGCGTACGCATACTGCTGCTTCTGCGGGTACACTGGAAAAACAAAAAGGAGATTAGGACTCGACCGGATTTCGCTCGCGTTTTCCTGCGGTGGAAAAAAGGGTCGGTTATCGGATAAACGAGGCAGTTGACATAATTCTTAAATGATACAGATAATTGCTATAGTTAGTTTCGCGAAAGTCAAAGGATGAAATATCCGATATTCACTACTTTATGAATGACTTTATTTTTCCGATTTTTTTCTTAAATATATTTATGATACGAAGTCTTGTAGAAAATTGTCGATACTATCAAGAAAATAATTATTTTTTCATCTTGTATTCTTCTTTTATTTTTATTTTAATAATATCACTTTTTTACTATTTTTTTTTTTCGAGTAATTGATTTCCTGTCTGAAATGTATTTTTGTACAATTCTAAGCAACCGATTCTTACGAGAAAGGCTCTGTCCGACATTGGAAGTCGAGACACATTTGCTCTTCATCCTACGTATAAATTGAATTCCGGCATCGATCAGTCAATGTACCGGGGCTGAATGCTCAAACACGGAAATTCTTTTGCAGCAAGAGATCGATGGGTGTGCGGAACGGAAAATTAGGCAAGTGTGTCGCTTTCGAGCGACTACTTCTAGATATCACTGACTTTTCCGTTCTTTTTCTCCAAGAAAAGAACAATTATCGTACACGAACGCTTATTTTGATATGACCAATTTTCCAAAGTTATTTGTAATATCAGACCGAAAGTCACATTATACATTATAGTTTATATTTAAGATAAGATTTAGATATTTTGCATAAAGGAAGCGATAAGAAAAAGTTGAAAAAAAAGAAAGAAATTTTATTGTTGATTGAATTTAGTTTTTTTCGTATTTTATTTTCATGAAATAGAATTCATGGAAAAAAATTAAAAAAATTTCATTTATTTGATTGTATAATATATCATATAATATATAACAATAGTTCTGTTATTAGAATGTTGCATAAATCTCATAAAATGAAACAAAACTTCTCGCGATGACATTGATTTTAAGTAACGGAAAACAGTGAAACGTCTTTGTCAAGAGAAGAATTTTTACAATCCGTAAATTATCTAGCGGAAGGAAATGTATATATCAGCGTAAATACAAATCACGTGGCTTTGTGTTTGCTTGGTAAAAATTTCGAGATGCATTTTCATGACACGCGCTACGTGTGCAAGTGCATTCTGCAACCCGGCCGATCATCCGGAGGAGAACTAGAAAGTTTCCTTCAGGATTAGAGCGTGACAGTGCTCCGATCCGTGGCGGAAACAGAGCGTGAGGCGAACAAGTAAAAGTCTCGCGAGAATGAATATTCGCCGTTACCTTCCACACGACAGAATTATCAGTGCGATTTCGATAATCTTGACTGATCCGTTGAGAGAAGTCGATCTTATCGACTTCGAAGTCGTTTTATTATCCTCCATGATTACTTATTCCTGATGGAACACAATTGCTTGACAATCGCAGTATTGCTTTTCGTATTGCATTCGTGTATTCGTTTCCGATCTAATTTCCGATCAAAAATGCGGGCCTTGGCGGTATTAAGATATCGAGAGCGTAGAGGCGAATTTAAATACTAACAATCGCTAGCAATTTTCCGCACGGCTTCGCTCCTCCGATCGATTTAACTGCGAAAATTGCGCAAAAACTAAATCTAGAATCACGCGGCATGCAATCCGCTGCGATTTCGAGTTAATATTCATCGAACTAGTTTCGCGCGGCCTCCTTTTTCGCGTTCGCAAATTCGCGCGGCGAAAACTAAATATCTTTGAAAAATCACCGGAAAAATCACTCTCTCATATGTAGGATTAATTTTACATTTTATTCTACATAGTACGTAGAGAATGTAAGAGAGAAGGATCGAAATCTTTTCATATATACAAGGCGTTATTGGGATTGAATCCTTCGGTTTGGTTATGTTAAATGATTAAACAAGCAATTAGATTAATCGCGCCTACGTACGTATTGTTGTTGTTGTTTCATTAGTTTATGAAATTTTCTTTAATTTCGTATATTACACCCGTATACTTTACCGATGTGTATTCGCAATATCGAATAAGCTGAAATCCTGAAATAATGGTTATTACCTACGTATCGTTTCTTCATAGATAACAGTATCTATAAAATAATGTATATTTGATCGTGCTAATAATAATTGGTATGCGTTAATACGGAAGCACTTAGAGAATAAACCGTATAACGTGTTATTATGTACAAAAAGTAAGTATGACTAGAAACTCGTTTAATGACATATCGTCTGCTTCCGTGTTGACGCTTCTTCTTCGAGTGAATCCAGTTAGTATAATGACGAGATGATCGTTATCCTTGTATCAAGGAATATGTTCCTTGCGATCAAGCGATGATCATAAACTAATATTAGTAGAATACTCGGTGCACGCGGAATCCGATTGGTCTCTATTGCGACTTTTATTGATATAGTTATTTTAAAAAATATATGACACGGTCTCAATATTTTTTAAAGCTGTTGATATCAGCCGCTATTCGAAGCTGAGGCTGAAAATACCGATTTTAAATAATTTCCTTACATTTTTGTAAATAAACAATATTTATATGTAATATACATTTAATGAGATCGTGAACAGAGAGTCCACAGTAGAACCGTCAGACTTTTCGGATGTCGCTAGGAGTGGATGGTGCGACGAATCGCCTCCAGAGACCAAGAATTGTAATAATCGCCGAATAGCAGGCCAATTCGGATATTATACCGCGTGCGCGTAATGGGCAAAAGCAATAGGTGTTAAATATGTACCAGGCATGAGGTACTGCATGTTCATCGCCTCCTCGCGCATTCTCTCGCCCCTCAAGCAAATCGCCGCGGCGCTAAACAAGATCGCGCTGACCAACGACCAACCGACGCCGACCCAAGCGACCACGTACGACCAGTCGTACGAGATTAGCGAGTTGTCCTTCAGGACCTAGACAGTTTTGCCCCCGCGTGCCGTGCCGTGCCGTGCCGTGCCGTGCCGTGCCGCGTCCGCGCCGGGCGTATATAACAAACAAAAAGAAGAAATACGGGGCGAGTTAGTCCGGCCATTTCATGGTTATCGTGTCACCTGGCATAATGTACTGAACGTTCTGGGCCTGTTCGCGGGCACGCTCCCTTCTCAGGCAGGATGCCGCGATCAGGAATAGCGTCATCGTGCCCAGACACGTAGCCACCCCCAGCCAGGCGAGGTAAAACGACCAGTCATACCACTGCGCCGTGTTGTCCCTTAAAACCTGCGAGCAAAATTCAGTCAAAATCCGTTCTGTACGGTTACGTCTGCCACCGGCTTCTCGATCACGTGGAGATTTCGATATTCGATGCGAGGTGCCTGGAAGAATCTCGTTATGATGCAAGATAAGTGAAAAGTTTCCTTCCTATTATTATTGTATTTATTGCAATTATAAGTTCAATTGAGTATAAACTACGATCGATTTTAATTATAACAACATTTCGAAAATTTTATTTCTCTATGTAAAAAAAAAAAATGTAATTTTATGTAGAAAATTAATAAATGTGCTTTTGTAAAAATGAGAAAATGATTTAAAATACTAAATTTTTAAAAATATTAAAAATTTCACTTATCTTGCCTAACAATGGCATGTACGCCAAATGCTGATCAATTGCAATTGACATTTAGACAATCGCGCGGATAATTTAGGTGACTTAGGAAAACCAATTATCAAACTGAAACAATTTAAATTAACATATCGTACAGATCCTAGCTTTCTGATGCGATTGATGTAATAGTCAATGGCAAATTTTAACATATTGCAGAAAATTTTCATCATATTAATAATCAAAAATTTCAAGAAAGTAGAATTGAGAACTTACATTGCTCCATTGTTGATAATACTCTTCTCCGACGATTTTCTCTTTCTCATAATACTCGACGCCGTGCCAGAGGCCCATACCGCCAGCACTTAGTAGGCCTACATAATATAAATGAATATATTCTAGTTATGTACATAGAATATTTTCAAAATTCTTTTACGAATATTCATTAATTTAATCTTTTCGAGAAGTCGACATCTACAATTCTTACTCTCGGATTTATATTTGAAGTATCATCCTTTTCTGATAAGGGGTCTTTATTTTTCTCGACCAATTTTTAATCAATATATTAAATATAATAAAACATATAATTAAAGACGCATTTGTTAAAATTAATTAAAATTAATTAAAATGTCAACTGTCGAAATTCATTCATAAATTCGCGAAAAGTAAACAAAAATTATGGAGTATTTCTGAAATATCACGGGAAGTATACTGACAGGCGAATAACATCAGAATTGCCGTGGCTGTGATATTTCCTGGTGATCTTCTCCAGCAACCCACTACTCCTGTCCAGAATGCCGAAAATATCGCGAGAAAGCCAACCATGAATAAGGCTATCACGGATCTCCCCATATCTACGACAATAATAAAAATTACAGGTATCTTACACGTTACACATATATTTTGATAACGGAGAAAAAATTTGCGTGTTTTTTTTTTACACGGATGAAAAATTTATTATAAAATATTTTTAAAATATTTTTAATATTTTTAAAACTATTTTTACTCGGTTGTTATTATGGATGCACTCGCTGTCACATCGCGATCGTCAGCGATCGAACTCTCCATTTTCCATTCACGCCATGTCGTGAATGGCGCTACGTGACGTGAATTCTAAAGCCTACAATATTATTTGTATGTGCAAGAGAGATGTAATCATACTGTGTCTTTTTATACAACTCTAGCGATATCGCTTTATTGTATAAAAAAGTTTACATAAGCCTCCTATTAAATGTACTAAAAGATTACTTTAATTTTTTTATATACATATTTTTATATTATTATTGAACGTACATAAATTCTTTTTGGTGAAAAATGTGAAAAATACACCAACCTTCCATTAATGCAACGAAGGATAAAATTTGTTTAACTGTACTATACTTACGTAATCGTGCCATTGCGTCGTCAGAGAAACCTCTCGTTTGATTGTCCTCATCAGGAATGAAATAATCGATATTCATGCAGTGCGTCTCCACGGGGCTCAAATAAGTCTCGACTGTAATAAAAAGATATTTATATGACAGAATATAATATAAGTACACATTACATAGGCAAATAAAATTGGCTGTAAGTTACTTGAATAATTTTTTTTATTTTCTGAAGACATTTTTATTTTTCTAACAGCAAGCAAACTTGTATTTTACGGTGCTTGCGAGAGATTTAGTACTTCTTATCCAAATAGTAATAATCCTTTTTAAGGATTATTATTAGGCGTTCCCGAATTGCTTTTACTAATTAGAGAAGTAAAAAACGTTTTACCAAGAGGCAAATATCTACACTTAATTGGCTAATCATCACCGACGTTTCTCATTTCACCGACCGCAAGACACGCTAATCAACGTTCATTTAATGGCTGATTACGACATTCAGAATCAAGGCGCATTCTAGAAAAGAAATAAATGCCGGATTTTAGCGAATTGCGAAATAACATTTTGCACCTGCAAAGATGGCGACGGTGTAATTAACACCGTTTATCAGAGAAATTCATGTTACATTAAAGAGAATACTCCGTCGAGAATAGAATGTTACTTGATGTGATTTGTTATTTTAGCATTCGAGAAGGGCGCTCTCTGTCAGCATTGTTGCATCATTCTATCGTTCATTTATGTCTAATAAATTATAAGGATAGAATGATGCGATAGCGCTAATAGCACGTTTCTCGATGCATAACTACATCTTGACTGTACATCTTTTTCTGTACATCTTTTATTCTAAAGGATGGTTTTTTATTTCAGACAGCTTTGTTCTTTAGTTTTTCTATTTTTTCAAGACTCAATTTTGTCAGTTTTATTTTTATCTTTTATCCTTTTTCCTTTATTGTACGGGAAATTCTTTTCTAATTAGCATTTTAAGTTAGCGTTACCTAATTTCATATTAATGAGTAAATTTTTAAAATAAATTATAAAAAATATAATTTATCTTATGTTAATTATATTTTTAATTCTTTTAATTAAAATTATTCAGATTAGATCCATTTTTATTTTTTATTATTTCGAATTCATTCCAGATTTAAATCAAGGGTTTCCAACACAATCGAAATGTCATCAGTTTCTGCATTTTGATATACGTAAGAAAGTTTTTTAATGTGCAGATTTTTGACATTCTGGCACAAAGTGGTTTGGAAACATGTGAGACAAAAACTCTAAAATTTTCAGATTTGTCCTTTATTTTCTCGAAGAAGATACGGTATGTATAATAAAAAAACAGAAATTAATTAGATTGATCATGCTTACTTCAGTTTCGTATACAATTAATAAGAAATTTAGTGAGAAAAATTTACGGAAAAAAATAGCCGAAAAAAAAATAGAAGGTTTTAACGTAAGATATCTTTCTAATCAAACTGCTTTGAGAATTCGCAGCGTCCTTTTGTTCGTCAACTTCTTTCGCAAACACTTCGGAGATATTTTGAGAATATATCTTAATGATCTCTCAATACACATTTCCCGTAAACGTGAATATTTAACAAGCGGCCATATGATGTCGATCATATCCTCCGTTTATTATCCGGTTGCGCGTGGAGGAGGTGCGAAAGATTCTTGAATACGCGCTCATTAGATGTCCTCGGGGGGAATCGTGTCTCGTGGGGAATTTACTACTGGGATTTATCAGCGTTCCGTAATCCCACAGCCCCGGCCGCGACAACGAGCGGGCGCCTCGAGAAGCACGCGACCCAGAATGCAGCGGGCGCTATCGCCGGACGCGAAGTGTGCGGCGGTATGCTTTTACCAACGTAAACCCCTCCCCCTTCTCCCTCCACCCTACCAGAGGGCCACGCGGCTCGGTCTTTCGTCTCTCTCGCAACGGTACTCCCCCTCGGTGAGTCCTAATCCGCAAAATGCCACTTTCGAAGACGAATTACTGAAAATGTTATGGGACAACCCTGATTTTTCGAAGGGAGTCTCCTCCTGTCTAGCAAACGTGCCCCTCATCTGATAAGTCGAAAAAGAAATAATCATAATGATAATTGTCCGCTGTCCCGAAAAGCCCCGTGAATCTTTCATCGATCGTTGAAGAGAATTATTATTTAATTATCTGAGATTTAAGCAGGATGTGATCTCAATAAAAAATTTTTTTGAAATTTTATCGAATGAAATCAAGCCAGACGAAATTTCACAACAATTTTATATTAAATATTTTTTTTTTTTTCTTTGTTTGAATTGTGTATTTTTTTCAACAATAGGATAGGATTCATCTTTCTCCTTCAATCGCTGGTTATTTTGTTAATTTCTGTTTCGTCTTTTAATTATAATTGAGTGAAAGTCTTTTCTTGGAAGAAACTGGAGTTAACGGAACAGAATGTTTTTTTCTGTTAATTACAACACGTATAACGTGCTAACTAGAAAAATTACCCTACCAATTCGTAACACAAAATTCCGTTATTGGAAGGATTGGAAATAAGTTTTTCCGAACGAAGCTTCATGGCTAGTCTCTATAAGGAAACGTACCGTTCGAGATACTTAAGTGTGAGCGTATCCAGGATTTTTTTTCGAGGGAGGGGGGGGGGGGTATATCAATCAATGTTAAACAGCAATTTTTTTCGTGTTAATGAATTGCTTTTTTAGATACTTTAGAGCTTAGAATATCTCCTCGTTCCTGATTTTGAATGAGAAAAATATTGGATTTTGTAAATTAGATTTTCTAACTTAACTTTTTTTTCAGGGAGGGTTTGAACTCCCCCAACCCCCACTCTGGATACGCCCCATGTATTTGAGATTCAGGCGATGGCCGGCGACAGCCGTTTCCTCGACCCTCTTCGAATCTAGTTTCGTCTAAACGAAACAAGGCGCCATGCCAAGATCGTTGACTCGCGCGCCTAACTGTACACGCGTTACACTCCTCGCCATTCCGGAAGGAGTCGTCGGCGACGCTCGACGGGATCCTCCTCGTACTTTTCATCGCGCATCGCCGCGCGATACGAGCGATACCGGGAGGCAGATAAAAGCCACCGGACCGGTCGTTGACTGGTTTCTTCGAATTTTTCACGTGTGCATTCGCGACTACACGCGCTGACCCCGATTTTTGGCGCTGGCCGACGCACGCGACGCCGGTCACGGTGTATATAAGAACGTGATGCAAAATCACATCCATAAAAATCTCGTGTAACGAAATCTCATCTGGCATGTATCCCCGGGGAATTTTTTTTTTTTAAGTTTGGCTTTTGTTCCAAAGACGTACGAAGAAAAGGAGAGATAAAGTATATCTTTAAGATACAGAGCATGCTTGATATAATTTATCTACTCATTAGTAAACTAGTAAAAAAAGTAGATAATTTTCTGAAGTAACAGAGAATAGCAGAAGAGAAAAAATTTTTGAAAGATATCAGATATATTTCTAAAATATATTTAATATTTTACAGTCTTTCTTACGAAATATAAGACATATCTCCGCATTTCTAAAATCTTATAAAACACACACACACACACAC